TTTCTCATACACAACGGAGCTTATCACATGAGGCAGGCAAATAGTAATTGCTGCAGAAGAACAGCCAGACTCATCCCTTGGGCTATTGCTCTTCGGTACATCCCGCTGCAGGATGGTATATTTTACAAAGGGAGATCATTAACAGATGCCGCTATGTAACATGTTTCCACCCACCCCCGGGTTATAAAGGTAATTTCTTAATTGATTCTGTCATAAAAACATGGGACAAGTTTATCAAACTGCAAAAAACTTCCTTGTTGCAGGAGGGACATCCTGCTGCACATTTTTCAACGAATATCTCAGTCTTTACCAATTCAACATAATTTTGCGGAAGCTACAAAACGTTTCTGTAGCATAACAACTACTTTCAAAGTAAGTATTGCACAATTAATCAGGAAAGAGCACTTACCAACCAGGAACAGAAAATTGTTCACATTTTGTAAAGAATTACATAATGTTTTTTGTGTGTTGTCGAAGGCTTTCGTGGCTGGAATCACTGGCTTGTAGGTTTTTCGGGCTATATGGCCATGTTCTAGAAGCATTCTCTCCTGATGTTTCACCTGCATCTATGGCAAGCATCCTCAGAGGTTGGGAATGGCCATGTTCTAGAAGCATTCTCTCCTGCCGTTTCGACCTGCATCTATGGCAAGCATCCTCAGAGGTTGGGAATGGCCATGTTCTAGAGGCATTCTCTCCTGACGTTTCACCTGCATCTATGGCAAGCATCCTCAGAGGTTGGGAATGGCCATGTTCTAGAAGCATTCTCTCCTGACGTTTCACCTGCATCTATGGCAAGCATCCTCACCTGTTTCACCATTTCACGGCAAGCATCCTCAGAGGTTGGGAATGGCCATGTTCTAGAAGCATTCTCTCCTGACGTTTCACCTGGATCTATGGCAAGCATCCTCACCTGTTTCACCATTTCACGGCAAGCATCCTCAGAGGTTGGGAATGGCCATGTTCTAGAAGCATTCTCTCCTGACGTTTCACCTGCATCTATGGCAAGCATCCTCAGAGGTGGAGCCATGTTCTATAGGCATTCTCTCCTGACGTTTCACCTGCATCTATGGCAAGCATCCTCAGAGGTTGGGAATGGCCATGTTCTAGAAGCATTCTCTCCTGACGTTTCACCTGCATCTATGGCAAGCATCCTCACCTGTTTCACCATTTCACGGCAAGCATCCTCAGAGTTGGGAATGGCCATGTTCTAGAAGCATTCTCTCCTGACGTTTCACCTGCATCTATGGCAAGCATCCTCACCTGTTTCACCATTTCACGGCAAGCATCCTCAGAGGTTGGGAATGGCCATGTTCTAGAAGCATTCTCTCCTGACGTTTTGCCTGCATCTATGGCAAGCATCCTCAGAGGTTGGGAATGGCCATGTTCTAGAAGCATTCTCTCCTGCCGTTTCGCCTGCATCTTTGGCAAGCATCCTCAGAGGTTGTCAGATCTGTGGATACTTGCCATAGATGCAGGTGGAATGTCAGGAGAGAATGGGTTGTTGTAGGTTTTTTCGGGCTATATGGCCATGGTCTAGGGGCATTCTCTCCTGACGTTTCGCCTGCATCTATGGCAAGCATCCTCAGAGGTAGTGAAGTCTGTTGGAACTAGGAAAAAGGGTTTATATATCTGTGGAATGACCAGGGTGGGACAAAGGACTCTTGTCTGCTGGAGCTAGGTGTGAATGTTTCAACCAACCACCTTGAGTAGTATTTGATGGCCTGGCAGTGCCTGGGGCAATCTTTTGTTGAGGGATGATTAGATGTGCCTGGTTGTTTCCTCTCTGCTGTTTTGCTGTTGCAATTTTAGAGTTTTTTAATACTGGTAGCCAGATTTTGTTCATTTTCATGGTCTCTTCCTTTCTGTTGAAATTGTCCACATGCTTGTGGATTTCAATGGCTTCTCTGTGTAGTCTGACATGGTGGTTGTGAGAGTGGTCCAGCACTTCTGTGTTCTCCAATAATCTGCTGTGTCCAGGTTGGCTCATCAGGTGTTCTGCTATGGCTGATTTCTCTGGTTGAAGTAGTCTACAGTGCCTTCCATGTTCCTTGATGCGTGTTTGGGCAATGCTGCTGCGTTTGGTGGTCCCTTTGGAGACGTTGTCCACAGCTGCATGGTACATGGTAGACTCCTGCAGAAGTAAGAGGATCCCTCTTGTCCTTTGCTGAACGGAGCAGTTGTTGGAATTTCTTAGTGGGTCTGTAGATAGTTTTCTCATCAGCTTCCCTCTGCGGTCAGTGGTTCCCTTGATGTATGGCAGGAACACTCTTCCTCTGGGTGGGTCTCTGTCTTGACTCTCGTGGCTTCTTCTTGGTGGTCTTGCAGCTCTTCTGATGTCTGAGGTGGAGTCTCCATTGGCCTGGAGAGCCCAGTTGAGGTGGTTCAGTTCATCTTGGAGGAGGTGGGCTTCGCAGATTCTTTTTGCACGGCCTGCCAAGGCTTTCATGGTGCTTCTTTTTTGACTTGGGTGATGGTTGGAGTTTCGATGTAGATCTCTATCTGTGTGTGTGGGTTTTCTGTAGACGGTGTGACCCAATTGTTGATCTGGTTTGCGGATGACGAGGACATCTAGAAAAGGCAGCCTTCCTTCCTTTTCTTCTTCCATGGTGAACTGGATGTTTGGGAGGATGCTGTTGAGATGGGCCAGGAACCTGTTGAGTTCTTCTCCTCCATGGCATTCAGGAGAGAATGCTTCTAGAGCAGTGTTCCTCAACCTTCCCAATGCTGCGACCCCTTAATACAGTTCCTCATGTTGTGGTGACCCCCAACCATAACATTATGTTCATTGCTACTTCACAACTGTAATTTTGCTACTGTTATGAATCGTCATGTAAATATCCGATATGCAGGGTGTATTTTCATTCATTGGACCAAATTTGACACAAATAGTAAATACACTCAAATTTGGTGGAGTTGGGGGGAGACTGATTTTGTCATTTGGGAGTTGTAGTTGCTGGGATTTATAGTTAACCTTCAACCAAAAGAGCATTCGGAGCTCTACCGACGATGGAATTGAACCAAACCTGGCACACAGAACTCCCATAATCAACAGAAAATGCTGGAACGGTTTGGTAGGCATTGACCTTGAGTGTTGGAGTTGTAGTTCACCTACATCCAGAGAGCACTGCAGACTCAAACAAGGATAGATCTGTCGAAGGCTTTCATGGCCGGAATCACTAGGTTGTTGTAGGTTTTTTCGGGCTATATGGCCATGTTCTAGAGGCATTCTCTCCTGACGTTTCGCCTGCATCTATGGCAAGCATCCTCAGAGTAGTAAGATGCTTGCCATAGATGCAGGCGAAACATCAGGAGAGAATGCTTCTAGAACATGGCCATATAGCCCGAAAAAACCTACAACAACCCAGTGATTCTGGCCATGACTTGGCAAGAATACTCAATATGCCCAAATGTGAACTGGTGGAGTTTGGGGAAAATAGACCTTGACATTTGGGAGTTGTAGTTGCTGGGATTTATAGTTAACCTCCAATCCTATAGCACTCTGAATCCAGCCCAAAATGGATCTGCACCAAACTTGGCACACTACTGACATGGCCAACATTAACTACTGGTGGGGTTGGGGGGGGGGCTGTTTTTGAATTCTGGGAGTTGTAGTTCACCAACACCAAAAAGGATGAGGACAGGCAGAAAGATCTTCAGCCTTCTCTGCCAAAAGCATTCCTAAGACCATCAGAAATATGTGTTTTATGATGGTCTTTGATGACCCCTCTGAAACCCCCTTGTGACCCCCCCCCAGGGGTCCTGACCCCCAGGTTGAGAAACACTGTTCTAGAGCATGGCCATATAGCCCGAAAAACCTGCAACGACCCCATGTTGTTTGTGTTTGTAAAAGCAACACTTTCCAGGCGCTTTGCTACTGAGAGAGCATCCGGAGAACTGCAAAGTCCTGGTCCGAGGTGCTGTTGCGTTGTGTGATAAGCTTTGAAGTGAGAAGGAATAATCCTTATCTTGATCAGGAAACATTTCCTTTAGGGAAGATTTGCACATTAATCTCCAAGCAGGGCAAGACGTTATGTCACCTTTTCCCTCTGTTTGACGGGCAAGCTGTGGGTGGGCACCTGCCTTTCGTTGTTGTTGTTCATTCGTTCAGTCGTCTCCGACTCTTCGTGACCTCATGGACCAGCCCACGCCAGAGCTCCCTGTCGGCCGTCACCACCCCCAGCTCCTTCAAGGTCAGTCCAGTCACTTCAAGGATGCCATCCATCCATCTTGCCCTTGGTCGGCCCCTCTTCCTTTTGCCTTCCACTTTCCCCAGCATCATTCTCCAGGCTTTCCTGTCTCCTCATGATGTGGCCAAAGGACTTCAACTTTGTCTCTACTCTCCTTCCCTCCAATGAGCAGTCGGGCTTTATTTCCTGGAGGATGGACTGGTTGGATCTTCTCGCAGTCCAAGGCACTCTCAGAACTTTCCTCCAACACCACAGCTCAAAAGCATCGATCTTCCTTCGCTCAGCCTTCCCTAAGGTCCAGCTCTCACATCCGTAGGTGACTACAGGGAATACCATGGCTTGACTAGGCAATGGATCTTTGTTGCCAGTCTGATGTCTCTACTCTTTACTATTTTATCGAGATTGGACATTGCTCTCCTCCCAAGAAGGAAGCGTCTTCTGATTTCCTGGCCACAGTCTGCATCTGCAGTCATCTTTGCACCTAGAAATACAAAGTCTGTCACGGCCTCACCATTTTCTCCCTCTATTTCCCAGTTGTCAATCATTCTTGCTGCCATAATCTTGGGTTTTTTTATGTTTAGCTACAACCCAGCTTTGGCACTTTCTTCTTTCACCTTGATTAGAAGGCTCCTCAGCTCCTCCTCGCTTTCGTACCTAATGCCAAATGCTAAAAATGGCTGAGGGCCTTCCTGAGGTCTCATGTTTCAAGTGAGGAAGCTCCAACGCCTGGGCTGCCAACCCAATGTGATGGTGCTTTCCCAGGACACTTCCACTTCCCTTTCTTCTTTCCTCCTCGCCCACTTCCCCTCTTACCTTTGAAGACGAAGGCCGCTTGCTGGCAGTGCCTTTGCGCCCACTGCAGGAAGCACCGCTCTTTGAGAGCCAGGTTGTGGTGCGACTCCGCAAAATCCCACATCAGGATGTCTCCGATGCCTTTGCTCTCCTCCCACGCCAAGTTGGAGTGTTTAGTGTGGGGGTCCGTGGCCATGAGGAAGACGTGCCTCAATTGGAAGCCCCCCGTCTCTCTCGGTTGGGCCCAGGTACGGCGTAGGATGGACCTCCGATGGTGGGAGGCCGGGTGGGACTTGATGGCCAGGAGGAGCAGTGGAGGGCCCTTTGGGGAGAGGTCCTTCTGGCACAGGTCCTCCTGGGAGACCAGCTCATGGCACTGGTAGTGCTGGAGCTGCGGGAAGAAGTCCTCGTAGACACTCCCGTCGAGGCGGATCGTTGTGGAGCCATTGTTGAGGATGACGGCTTTGTCCCGATGGGGTGGCGGAGGCTCCGAATGGTGCCGAGTGACAAAGCTGGCGTAGATGACGACGCAGATGAGAACCACCACCATCACCCAAAAGCGGTGGGACTTCTTCATGGTGAGCCTGGGTACAATCATAGAAACATAGAGTTGGAAGAGACCTGGTGGACCATCCAGTCCAACCCCATTCTGCCAAGAAGCAGGAAAAACACATTCAAAGCACCCCCGGCAGATGGCCATCCAGCTTCTGTTTCAAAGCCTCCACCACACTCTGGGGCAGAGAACATAGAATCCTAGAGTTGGAAGAGACTTGGTGGGCCATCCAGTCCAACCCCATTCTGCCAAGAAGCAGGAAAAACACATTCAAAGCACCCCTGACAGATGGCCATTCAGGCTCTCTTTCAAAGCCTCCACCACACTCCGGGGCAGAGAGTTCCACTGCTGAACATAGAATCCTAGAATCCTAGAATTGGAAGAGATCTGGTAGGCCATCCAGTCCAACCCCATTCTGCCAAGAGGCAAGAAAATCACATTCAAAGCACCCCCGACAGATGGCCATCCAGCCTCTGTTTCGAAGCCTCTACCATACTCCAGGTCAGAGAGTTCCACTGCTGAACATAGAATCCTAGAATCGTAGAGTTGGAAGAGACCTGGTGGACCATCCAGTTCCAACCCCATTCTGCCAAGAAGCAGGAAAAACACATTCAAAGAACCCCTGGCAGATGGCCATCCAGCCTCTGTTTGAAAGCCTCCACCACACTATGGGGCAGAGAGTTCCACTGCTGAACATAGAATCCTAGAGTTGGAAGAGACCTGGTGAGCCATCCAGTCCAACCCCATTCTGCCAAGAGGCGAGAAAATCGCATTCAAAGCGCACCTGACAGATGGCCATCCAGCCTCTGCTTCAAAGCCTCCACCACACTCCGGGGCAGAGAGTTCCAGTGCTGAACATAGAATCCTAGAGTTGGAAGAGACCTGGTGGGCCATCCAGTCCAACCCCATTCTGCCAAGAGGCGAGAAAATTGCATTCAAAGCACCCCCGACAGATGGTCATCCAGCCTCTGCTTCAAAGCCTCCAAAGAAGGAGCCGCCACCACACTCCAGGGCAGAGAGTTCCACTGCTGAACATAGAATCCTAGAATCCTAGTTGGAAGAGACCTCATGGGCCATCCAGTCCAACCCCATTCTGCTAAGAAGCAGGAAAGACACATTCAATGCACCCCCGACAGATGGCCATCCAGCCTCTGTTTCAAAGCCTCCACCACACTCTGGGGCAGAGGGTTCCACTGCTGAACTTAGAATCCTAGCGTTGGAAGAGACCTTGTGGGCCATCCAATCCAACCCCATTCTGCCAAGAAGCAGGAAAAACACATTCAAAGCACCCCCCACAGATGGCAATCCAGCCTCTGCTTCAAAGTCTCCAAAGAAGGGGTCTCCACCACACTCCGGAAAAGAGAGTTCCACTGCTGAACATAGAATCCTAGAGTTGGAGAGACCTGGTGGGCCATCCAGTCCAACCCCATTCTGTCAAGAGGCAAGAAAATCACATTCAAAGCACCCCTAACAGATGGCTATCCACCCTCTGCTTCAAAGCCTCAAAAGAAGGAGCCTCCAGCACACGCCGGGGCAGAGAGTTCCACTGCTGAACATAGAATCCTAGAGTTGGAGAGAGCTGGTGGGCCATCCAGTACAAACCTGTTCTGCCAAGAAGCAGGAAAAACACATTCAAAGCACCCCCGGCAGATGGCCATCCAGCCTCTGTTTCAAAGCCTCCACCACACTCTGGGGCAGAGAGTTCCACTGCTGAACATAGAATCCTAGAGTTGGAGAGACCTGGTGGGCCATCCAGTCCAACCCCATTCTGCCAAGAAGCAGGAAAAACACATTCAAAGCACCCCCGACAGATGGCCATCCAGCCTCTGTTTCAAAGCATCCAGCACACTCCGGGGCAGAGAGTTCCACTGCTGAACATAGAAACACAGAGATGGAAGAGATCTGGTGGGCCATCCAGTCCAACCCCATTCTGCCAAGAAGCAGGAAAAACACATTCAAAGCACCCCCGACAGATGGCCATCCAGCCTCTGTTTCAAAGCCACCACACTCTGGGGCAGAGAGTTCCACTGCTGAACATAGAATCCTAGAGTTGGAGAGAGACCTTGTGGGCCATCCAGTCCAACCCCATTCTGCCAAGAAGCAGGAAAAACACATTCAAAGCACCCCCGACAGATGGCCATCCAGCCTCTGTTTCAAAGCATCCAGCACACTCCGGGGCAGAGAGTTCCACTGCTGAACATAGAAACACAGAGATGGAAGAGATCTGGTGGGCCATCCAGTCCAACCCCATTCTGCCAAGAAGCAGGAAAAACACATTCAAAGAACCCCTGGCAGATGGCCATCCAGCCTCTGTTTCAAAGCCTCCACCACACTCCGGGGCAGAGAGTTCCATTGCTGAACATAGAAACACAGAGATGGAAGAGATCTGGTGGGCCATCCAGTCCAACCCCATTCTGCCAAGAAGCAGGAAAAACACATTCAAAGCACCCCCGGCAGATGGCCATCCAGCCTCTGTTTCAAAGCCTCCACCACACTCCGGGGCAGAGAGTTCCACTGCTGAACATAGAATCCTAGAGTTGGAAGAGATCTGGTGGGCCATCCAGTCCAACCCCATTCTGCCAAGAAGCAGGAAAAACACATTCAAAGCACCCCCGGCAGATGGCCATCCAGCCTCTGTTTCAAAGCCTCCACCACACTCTGGGGCAGAGAGTTCCACTGCTGAACATAGAATCCTAGAGTTGGAAGAGATCTGGGCCATCCAGTCCAACCCCATTCTGCCAAGAAGCAGGAAAATTGCATTCAAAGCACCCCTGACAGATGGCCATCCAGCCTCTGTTTCAAAGCCTCCACCACACTCCGGGGCAGAGAGTTCCACTGCTGAACAGCTCTCACAGTCAGAAGCAAAATGTATGGCGGGATAGTGAAGACTTTAGCACCCAGCCCCAAAGAGGCACCAAAAGTTTGGGAGCACTAGCTCCGACCTTCACCTGTAAAACACCTGCCAGCCCCGTTCCCTCCTCAAGGAGACCCAGGTCACCCCTTCTCCCAAACCGCTCCCAGATTCCCTGCCCTCCAGCTATGGCTTCTTGCCTCACCTGCCAAGGAAGGCCTCCCTGGTCTTCTTTCTGCCTGCTGTGACCCAGACAAGGCTCCTTTGCCCTCCTCCTCCTCCTCCTCTTCCCACCTGTGTCCTCCTACCTGTGTCCTCCTCCTACCTGTGCCCCACCAGGCTGCAGGCTGGAAATGAAGGCTGAAGGCTGAAGGCTGAAGCCTTTGCTGGAGGGAGGCTCCCCTGGCAAGGGCGGTGCCAGAGCCCTCTTCGGCAGGAGGAAAGGGGAGGGAGGAAAGCCAGCAGAGAGCCGGAGATGGTCCTCTCTCAGCCTCTTGCCAATGGATTGGGGTGGCCCTTGCCATGCTCTGCAGAAAGGTGTCTAAGGTTTGGTTCTCACCTTGTGATGGCTTTTAGTCAGTTCAAAATGTATTAAAAGACTACCAGAGAAGAGGGGGAAAACTCTTCTTTTGATAAGGGTTAAGGTAAATACTGACATTGCCCTGCAGATAAGCCAAGCCAGGTTATTTGCTTTCACTTTTTGTCTAAAATTTCTATTACTTACTTACTTTACTGGTCATCCGAGAAGTATAGTCTTCCAAGATCAGTGTACTGCCTGAATATCAAGCAAAAAGTGGGCGCTAGAAACAATATCATACGAAAGCAGACCGGCACAACCTGGGGATCACAACCAGACACAGTGAAGACATCTGCCCTTGCGCTATGCTACTCGGCTGCTGAGTATGCATGCCCAGGGTGGAACACATCTCACCACACTAAAACAGTAGATTCAAGAGAGATATTGACAAGCTGGAATGTGTCCAGAGGAGGGCGACTAAAATGATCAAGGGTCTGGAGAACAAGCCCTATGAGGAGCAGCTAAAGGAGCTGGGCATGTTTAGCCTGAAGAAGAGAAGGCTGAGAGGAGACATGATGAGGGCCATGTATAAATACGTGAGAGGAAGCCACAGGGAGGAGGAGGGAGCAAGCTCCCTTTCTGCTTCCCTGGAGACTAGGATGCAATGGAGCAATGGCTTCAAACTACAAGAAAGGAGATTCCATCTGAACATGAGGAAGAACTTCCTGACTGTGAGAGCCGTTCAGCAGTGGAACTCTCTGCCCCGGAGGGAGTGTGGTGGAGGCTCCTTCTTTGGAAGCTTTTAAACAGAGGCTGGATGGCCATCTGTCAGGGGTGCTTTGAATGCAATATTCCTGCTTCTTGGCAGAATGGGGTTGGACTGGATGGCCCACGAGGTCTCTTCCCACTCTTTGATTCTAGGATTCTATGATTCTATGTGGCTCTTAATGAGACATGCTGTATCATCACGGGGTGTCTGCGCCCTACACCACGGGAGAAATTACACTGCTTAGCCGGTATTGCACCACCTGACATCCGCCGGGAAGGAGCAGCCAATAGTGAAAGGACCAAGGCAGTGACATCTCCAGCTCACCCCCTGTTTGGCTATCAGCCAGCACGTCAACGACTTAAATCAAGAAATAGTTTTCTAAGATCTACAGAGACACTCGCTGGAACACCTCAGCAAGCGAGAGTCCAAAAGTGGCAGGCTCAGTGTCAATGTTGAGTTTGGTGGCGAGGTGGCTGCCAAGGGAGCGGAAATGGCCAACATTTTCTAATGTTACACCGTTAAGCTATATTTCTGGCATTGGAAAGGGGTTGGCTAGTGCCTGATGGACGAGCACTTTGGTTTTCTATATACATTTCTATATACATTAGTTCATAGGGGATACACAAACCTTAAAACAGTACTATGTGAATGTTTCATTACTTTACAGTCTTATATACAGGAACTCCTGGTGGCGCAATGAGTTAAACCCTTGATCCGGCAGGACTGAAGACTGACAGGTCAGAGGTTTGAATCCAGGGAGAGCGCAGATGAGCTCCCTCTGTCAGCTCCAGCTCCCCATGTGGGGACATGAGAGAAGCCTCCCACAGGATGGTAAAAAATCAAACATCCGGGTAACGTCTCCTGGGCAACGTCCTTGCAGATGAACAATTCTCTCACACCAGAAGCGACTTGCAGTTTCTCAAGTCACTCCTGACACAGAAAAAAAGTCTTATAAGTGAGACTTATTTGAACCATTGTGATGTTATGAGTGATCTTTTTTCATGTATTTTTTTTTATCATATCAGGAGTGAACAGTACAGTTGTAATGTATTTTAAAAACACAAAGTTTAAAAAAACCTTGTCATTCTACCAAAGGTCCTTTGACCAGTATCTGGCCCCTTGGAGTGCCTCCGGTTTTGCCGTGAGAAGGTCCTCCATGGTGCATGTGGCAGGGATCAGGTTGCATTGCAGCAGGTGGTCAGTGGTTTGCTCTTCTCCACACTCGCATGCCGAGGATTCCACTTTGTGGCCCCATTTCTTGAGGTTGGCTCTGCAACTCGTGGGGCCAGAGCGCAGTCTGTTCAGCGCCTTCCAAGTCGCCCAGTCCTCTGTGTGCCCAGGGGGGAGTCTCTCCTTTGGTATCAGCCATTAGTTGAGGTTCTGGGTTTGAGCCTGCCACTTTTGGACTCTCGCTTGCTGAGGTGTTCCAGCGAGTGTCTCTGTAGATCTTAGAAAACTATTTCTTCATTTAAGGCATTGGCATGCTGGCTGATATCCAAACAGAGGATGGGCCGGAAATGTCACCGCCTTGGTCCTTTCACTATTAATTGCTACTCCCCGGCGGATGTCAGGTGGTGCAATACCGGCTAGACAGTATAATTTATCCCGTGGTGTAGGGCGCAGACATCCTGTGATCATGCAGCATGTCTCATGAAGAGCCACACCCACTGCTTTAGTGTGGTGAGATGTGCTCCACACTAGGTACACATACTCAGCAGCAGAGTAGCACAGCGCAAGGGCAGATGTCTTCACTGTGCCTGGTTGTGATCTTCAGGCTGTGCCAGTCAGCTTTCGTATGATATTGTTTGTATGATATTGATAGTCAAGCAATGCTTCTTGTAGGTCAGAGCACAGTCCAGGGTAACTCCCAGGTATTTGGGTGTACTTTTGCTAACACTTTTGTCTTGTTTTAAATTTGTATTCTTTCTAATACGTTGTAAGCCACTTTAAGTCCCATGATCAGGAGAAAGGCAGGATCTAAATGAATAATAATAATAATATATGGCAGCCAGAGGTGACCTTAGGTAATTTTCAACAGTAAGCAAACAGTATTTTGGCGTTCCCCCCTCCCCCCCCCAAAAAAATCAATCATTGATATATATTTTCTGTTTGTCGTGGGAGTTCTGTGTGCCATATTTGGTTCAGTTCCATCATTGGTGGAGTTCAGAATGCTTTTTGATTGTAGGTGAACTATACATCCCAGTAACTACAACTTGCATATGTCAAGGTCTATTTTCCCCCAAGAGCACCTCAAGAGCACCCCTGGGCAAAATCAACTCTACTGCAAATGCTTACTTTGCGTAATGGTTGAGCCGCCCCTGATGGCAGCCCAAGAACAAGCCATTTGAACCAAGGCCATCCAAGCCAGAATTGAAAAGTCGGCAACAGATCCCAAATGTAGACTCTGCAAGGAAGCAGGTGAAACCATAGATCCCATCCTCAGCTGCTGCAAGAAGATCATAGAATCATAGAATCAAAGAGTTGGAAGAGACCTCATGGGCCATCCAGTCCAACCCCCTGCCAAGAAGCAGGAATATTGCATTCAAATCGCGCAGAGAGACTACAAGCAGAGGCACAACACCATTGCTCAGCTGATCCATTGGAACTTGTGCCACAAATACCATCTGCCTGCGACAAAGAACTGGTGGGATCACAAGCCGGAAAAAGTTACAGAAAATGAACACGTCAAACCGTTTTGGACTTCTGAATTCAGTCAGACAGAGTTTTGGAGCACAACACTCCTGAGCTCACAATCGTGTTAAAAAACAAAGTATGGATCATCAATGTCGCAATCCGAGGTGACAGCAGGATTGAAGAAAAACAACTGGAAAAGCTGATATGATATGAAGATTTAAAGATCGAACTGCAAAGACTGTGGCACAAGTCAGTCAAGGGGGTCCCAGTAGTGATCGTCACACTGGGTGCAGTGCCTCAAGACCTTGGCCTGCACTTAAACACAATCGGCGCTGACAAAATTACCACCTGCCAGCTGCTGAAGGACACCTTACTGAGATCTGCACATATTCTTTGCTGATACATCACACAGTCCTAGACACTTGGGAAGGGTCCGACGTGTGATCCAATTCAGCAGCCAGCAGATGAACAGAGCCAAAGGCAGAAGCATCAAGTAGGGGGCAGAAGGAGAAAACAAAACATTTCAAAGGCAGGTGGAAAAAGCCTTATGGGAGGGGGTTAATTGATGAGATTTTGGAAAAATAGATATTTATTTATGTATAAATTGTATGTCCTTTACAAGCACTGGAATGTATAGAAAAATCAGGCTCTCTCTGTATAGAAAGAATGCTAATGGATAAGCAAGCTGCTGTCCAGGCACAGCAAGAGAGGGACTGAAGGGGGGGGGGCATGTTATCTATACATTCCAGGAGAGAGATAAGCTTGTCCTAGTGACAACAGACTGGTACAACTAGGCTCTAAAAGGAGCCCTCCTCTTCCTCCTGACAGGTCAAAGTTAGGCCCCTTGACTGATGGATGTAAGCTGCTGCTAGAAAGAAATACATAGAGACATGCCTTTTGCATGTTGGAAGTAGAACTTGATCTTTGTATGTTGCTAAGATGACACAGTGTATGATGTCAATGTATGTAGATGCATGTTCTTTGTTTGACTGCGACTGGAGGATATAAAAGCCGCAGTCAACGTCTAAATCATTGCTCTGGTGCTTTTGGACAGAACTCCTCACCAGAGTCCCAGCTGGAAATAAAATCCATGCTTTTGAGACCTCCGGACCTCTCTTTGTCTCTTTTCCTGAAACCTTCTCCCTGCCATTTCATAATAAGTACGGTCCTTTCCAAATCAGTACATTTGGGTTCAAGCAATGTGAGCCACCTTGTCTCTCTCCTGAGGAACCTATACAAGGACCAAGTAGCAACAGTGAGAACTGACCACGGAACAACAGACTGGTTCAAGATTGGGAAAGGCGTCCGGCAAGGCTGCATCCTCTCACCCAACCTTTTTAACTTGTATGCAGAACACATCATGCGAGGATGTGCGGGGCTTGAGGAATGCAAAGCTGGGGTGAAAATTGCTGGAAGAAACATTAACAACCTCAAATATGCAGATGACACCACTCTGATGGCCGAAAGCGAGGAGGAGCTGAGGAGCCTTCTAATCAAGGTGAAAGAAGAAAGCACAAAAGCCGGGTTGCAGCTAAACATCAAAAAAACCAAGATTATGGCAACAAGAATGATTGACAACTGGGAAATAGAGGGAGAAAATGTGGAGGCCGTGACAGACTTT